GTCATGCTGGATTAGATCGAGCCCTGATCCAATGGCTGATGTCCTTATAAGAGGAGAGAAATGTGGGCACAGACAGACAGGGGAAGGCCCTGTGAAGATGGGAGACATGTTAGAGTGATACAGCTCCAGCCAAACAATCCCAAGGATTGCGGCAACCACCGGGATGCCAGAAGAGGCAGGAAGGATCCTCCCCTCCCTCCTCACAGGGAGCATGGCCCTGGTGACACCTTGATTTTGGACTTCTAGTCTCTAGCACCATGAGAGAATAAATTGCTCTTGTGTTAGGCTACCCAGTTTGCAGTCTTTTGTCATGGCAGCCCTTGCAAGGTACAGGCCACCCTCTGTCTTCTTTCCGGTTCCTTAGGATCCCATTCTCATGAGTTTCCTACATAATAGACCATAACATGCTGACATCCAGAAGTACCTTCTGTTCTAAATCTTCTACCCATTCTTTCTTTCTTTTCTTTTTTTTGAGATGGAGTTTTGTTCTTGATGCTCAGGCTGGAGTGCAGTGGTGCGATCTCAGCTCACTACAATCTCTGCCTACTGGGTTCAATCCATTCTCCTGTCTCAGCCTCCTGTGCAGCTGGGATTACAGGTGCCCACCACCACGCCTGGCTAATTTTCTGTATTTTTAGTAGAGATGGGGTTTCACCATGTTGGCCAGGCTGGTCTGGAACTCCTGACCTCAGGTCACCCACCCATCTCGGCCTCTCAAAGTGCTGGGATTACAGGGGTGAGCCACCGTGCCTGGCATACCCTTTCTCACATCGTTCTCATTGTAAATGCTGCCATCAGCAATTGATGGGGTGGTCCAGACCACGAGCAAAATATTGGGCCAGAACATGGAAACAGAGCCAGAGGTGGAGATGTATAGTGACCAGGGCAGAAAACCAAAGGAGTCAGTCTGAGGTGGGTACAAACTTGCAGAAGAAAGACCAGGCAGGGCATGCTCACGATGACCAAAGACAAGTGGGTCCAAGACCCAGGCTGTCATCAGAGGCAGAACTATACAGGGAGCAAAACCAGGGCTAGGCACAGTGGCTCATGCTCAGAATCCCAGCCCTTGGAGGCCAAGGCAGGAGGATCTCTTGAGTCCAGGAGTTCAAGGCCAGCCTGGGCACATAGTGAGACCCAGCCTCTACAAAAAATAAAATTAATTAGCTGGGCGTAGTGGTGCATGCCTGTAGTCCTAGTCACTTGGGAGGCTGAGATGAGAGGATCACTTGAACTGGAGGCTGGGGCTCCAGTGAGCTGTGATTGTACCCCTGAACTCCAGCCTGGGCGACAGAGTAAAACCTTATAACACCGCGATCCCCGATCTTTTTGACAGTAGGGACTGCTTTGGTGGAAGACAATTTTTCCACGAACAGGGGAGGAGATGATTTTGGGATGAAACTATTCCACCTCAGATTATCAAGCATTAGATTCTCATAAGGAGCACGCAACCTAGATCCCTCGCACATGCAGATCACTTTAGGGTTCAAGCTCCTATGGAAATCTAATGCAGCCGCGGATCTGACAGGAGGCGGAGCTCAGGTGGTAAAGCTCACTTCCCCTCCGTTCACCTCCTGCTGTGCGGTCCAGTTCCTAACAAGCCACAAACCAGTAGCAGTCTGTGGCCCAGGGGTTGGGGATACCTGCTGTAATTGTAATAGACCTGGGACTTATCCAAGCTTCAGATGCTGATTCCACCACTTTACACCAGAGGAGAGTTTTCAGTTTCTTTCACAGGCAGTGTCTCACTGGGTCTTCAAAAGCAGCCTCAGGAGCTGAGTAGAGCTATCATGTAATCTCCAGTCTATTCACAGGCAAAGAAACAGAAAGGCTAAGTGACTTGCTGAGTGCTTCAGTATCACTTAACTGCTTATTAGCAGGGTGTGTAGAGAAAAGAAAATGGACCTTGGAGTCTGGTAGACAGGGTGAGAGTGAATACAAGGAAGTTATTTGATTTCTATGAGGCTCTCTTTTACTTGGTCACTATTTTTTTTTTTTTTTTTGAGACGGAGTTTCGCTCTTGTTGCCCAGGCTGGAGTGCAGTGGTGAAATCTTGGCTCACTGCAACCTCCACCCCACCGATCCAAATGATTCTCCTGCCTCAGCCTACCAAGTAGCTGGGACTATAGGTGCTTACCACCGTGCCCAGTTAATCTTTTTTGTAATTTTAATAGAGATGGGGTTTCTCCATGTTGATCAGGCTAGTCTTGAACTCCTGATCTCAGGTGATCTGCCCGCCTTGGCCTCCCAAAGTGCTGGGATTACAGGCATGAGCCACTGCACCTGGCCTTTTTTTTTTTGAGATGGAGTCTCAACCAGGCTGGAGTGCAGTGGTTTGATCTTGGCTCACTGCAGCCTCTGAACTCCCTCCAGGGTTCAAGCAATTCTCCTTGCCTCAGCCTCCCAAGTAGCTGGGATTACAGGTGCATACCACCATGCCCGGCTAATTTTTGTATTTTTAGTACAGACAGTTTCGCCATGTTGGCCAGGCTGGTCTCAAACGCCTGACCTCAAGTGATCTGCCCACCTTGGCCTCAAATTAAACCAATTTGGAAGTTATGCTTCAGCTGCTTCTCACTGGCCAGAGGCAGACTACACCCAGGGTTTATTTCGTCGGGGAGAGCATTAGCAGCACTTGCCATGGGAGGCTGAACCTCCCTGTTCTGGATAGACACCCAAACACAGACACTGTGTAGACATACCTTCGCCAAGAGGCCTTCGAAGGGCCTGGACCTAGGCTGTTTTAGGATGGAAACAGTAGAAAGCACTATTTCCACATCTTCCCGTGTGCTCCCAGGACCATGTAGAGTGCAACAGAAACATGCAGAGGAGAGGAGCTGCTCCTACTCTCTAGGGGTTGAGGATGCAGCCAGCATAGGACTACAGCCCAGGGACCAAAGTCTGCACTTACCTCCTTTCCCCAGAAGAGAATCTGGGAAAGTCAGCCCCCTACATCCTCCTGTACCCAAATTCTGCCTGTTTCCCTTCAGTTCCACTTGATGCAAAGGGTAGGTCAGGTCAGAAAAAAACCCACTCTTCAGACTGGGCTTGATGGCTCATGCCTGTAATCCCAGCACTTTGGGAGGCTGAGTCGGGCAGATCACCTGAGGTCGGGAGTTCAAGACCAGCCTGACCAACATTGAGAAACCTCATCTCTACTAAAAATACAAAATTAGCCAGGCATGGTGGCACATGCCTGTGGTCCCAGCTACTCTGGAGGATGAGGCAGGAGAATTGCTTGAACCTGGGAGGTGGAGGCTGCGGTGAGCCAAGATCACGCCATTGCACTCCAGCCTGGGCAACAAGAGTGAAACTTCATCTCAAAAATAAAAATGATAAATAAAAAAAACTCACTCCTCTCCTCTCCTCTCCTCCAGCTCAACCCTTTCTTCCCTGTCATACCTGTCCCACGTCCAGCTCCAACTAACAGACTCTGGGGAGGCCAGCAGCTCCAGGGGTTCTGTTGTTCTCATAGGCCTGGAAGTTGTCACATCTCTGGGTTTCGGGGCCAGCTGCTTGTCTTCTACAGTTCAAGTGCTCAGGCCTCATGCTAGCAAAAGCAGCCTGCTCCCATTCCAGGATGTAAATCTCCCTCCACTTGACACCTGGCCACAAGTTGCTGGAGAAATGACCAGATTCCATCTGACAATCTGCAGATGGAATCCATAGCCCCAGCACAAGTCTAAACACTACAAAGGAGTGTGACAGCTGGCACACAGACACATCCAGCAAGACTTGAGCAGGATGAGCCTCTGGACAATGTTCAAGTACAAGTCTACAAACTGGGGGCCCCTCCTCTAAAATCATCTTTCTCCCCTGCCTAGCACTGACAGGCCAACTTTAGCCAGCGATGTTGGGAGAATACGCAGAGATTGGGAGAGGAGGGCCTCTTATTTATCAAGCAAGACTTCCTCCTCCACTACGAGCCACAAAGTCGAGTCTTTGCCAAGAAATCTTGCACACCTCAGACACCAGATATCTCACCCTGCTGTAATTAAAAAAGAGAAAGTCATCTTTTGTATGCAAACATCCTGAGAAATAAAACCTGGGCTCCTGGAGAAAAGAGAGCAGCACAGACTAGGTCCAATTCACAAGGAACACCCATATGTGGAAATCCACCAAGCTCCTCCTGGGGGCAGATGGAATTTTATAACTCTAGGGCCCCTGAACCAAGACAACGCATTGCGTACTACATCACAAGCACGCGAAACATCTGTGATTTACGAAGTATCCCATAAATCAGCCTGGACAACAGTCTTGGCTCATGGAGTTTAAATAGAAACCCACAAAATGATCTAATGATTTCCATAGAAATTTTCTTTCCATAGGAAACCTGCCTGATAAGATTCATAAAAATGGGAATAAGACAAAAATGTATCAACAGGCTCAAATTTGTTAACTTCAGTTTTACTTTAAGAGAATAATACAGATTTTGGTAGCCCAGGAAGGGGAGTGGGAAGGTTGTGGAAAGGCTGGGAAACATCAGAATATCTTTATAACACAACACAAGCAACCTTTGTGACTACACACAACGCACACACACACACACACACACACACACTCTCTCTCTCTCTCTCTCTCTCTCTCTCTCACACCCCACATAAGGCACTGAACAAAGCCTGTTCCTGATGATCACGGGACCTTATGAATCCACCACTGGCTTCTAGCATGGAGGGGATAAATGCCCCCTGCCCTGAGCCTGGCCACAGCCAGCCCATCTCCTGTGGGCACTTTGTCCAAGTCCTGCAGGGGGCGTGGCTTTGCTACTCAATGGCAACTGGATTCCAAGAGTTTCAGGAAGGGTGGGGGAGCAAGATATCAAAGGCTCAAGCTCGCCCCCTTCATCCAGACAGACTTTTCATATTTCATTTGATGAGGATTAGGAAGAAAAGGGCGAGGATTAGGCCTAATTACTGCCTCTGTCAAAAGCCGGCGAAGAGTGGAAGGGAAGGGAGTAAGTGGATTATGAAAAGAAAACAAACGGAGAAAAAGGGGGCCAAGGATGAACTGCATTCAGTGATATTTATTCATCTGATTGCAAAAGGAAAAGAAAAGATATGTTCTAATGGTTCACCTTCCTGTGAACCTGGAGCTCCCGAACCCTGACAAAGACCTTCTGACACTGCCGTGAGGTAGATCGGAGCCTTTCCATAGCTACAGTGAGACAGGCCAGTGTTTGAGAGCCGTAATGAGGGAACTAGAGACAAAACCCCAAATCTTGGTCTTTTCCAGCCTGCTACTCTCAGCCTGGGCTATGGAGCCTGGAGAACACTGCGATCTCATCAGGGTTTGGGTGGCAGAAAGAATGGGACCGGGGGCGCTCTCTTTGCCCTAAGCACTCACTGACTGCACAAGCGAGCCAGGTGACGGGTGCCCTCTACCAAAGCCAGCTGGCTGCTCCGGGCAGCTGGGCTCTACCACTGAAGGAGGAGTGAAGTTCAAGGGTGGAGTTTAGAAAACATCTCTCAGAGAGTGAAAGGATGGTGAAAACCCACTTGGTAAGGATTCCCTCCTCGGGTCACATGGCCTAGTCGCCAGGTTCTGGAGGGTAAAGTGTCACAACCCGGAAATCCCATGGGACTCATTGTGAACAGAGGCTAGAGGCTTTCCACAAGTTCTGATCAACCGAGTTGTTGCTTCTTGTCCTTCAGGCCTAAGAAACTCCCCAGGAAGCCCTGAAAAAAAAAAAAAAAAAGGAAATAGCCCCCGGGGTGAAGGGAGGACCAGGTGCACTGAAGGGAGGGACAGGGATCAGGGACCCTGGAAGGCATATTCATATTTAATTACACAAAAACGCCCGGGCACCACCGGGCCACACACGCCCCACCCCAACCCCACTCCAACCCAGCCCAGGCACGAATCTGCACTCACAGGCTCCTCACTCAACAGCTGCACTTCATACCGGAAGTGGATTCTCACCTCCACGGCCGTCAAACCTTTGAGAAAACCCAGAACTGAGTCCGAGGGCTTGGGGGATGGAGGAACTGGCCCTAGCCCTGTCTTCAAGTGTAAACTAGGTCTAGAGATGGCCAGAAATCGGGGTGGGAGTGGGGGCAAAGAACTGAGCTGGAAAACCAAAACTAGAGCCGACCCAGCGCCCTGGCTCAGGCCTGTAAAAGTGAGCTCCTCAGTGAGCTGACATCGCACCACTGCATTCCAGCCTGGGCGACAGAGATGAGACCCTGTCTCTATTAAAAAAAAAATCCCTAGAGCCAACCAGGCAGTGCCAGAGTCCTCGGGACACCGCAGCGCTTTTCCGTGGCGCACCTGTGTCCTGAAAGGAAAGGGCCCTGGGTCCCATTTTGGCTCGCTACTCCTCGTTCCCTCTTCTCTCAAGCAGAGCCATCCCAGCTCCCACCTTCTCCTAGGAAACTCCAAACTCAGCAAGTCGACTCACTGAGACTTCGCAGGCTTCCCGACCCTGAACCGCGGGTCCCTCCGCCCGGGTTACCTACTCGTCGAGCTGTCGGCAAAGCCTGGGCTGTGCGGGGCTGGTGCCGGCCGCGGAGGCGCCCGAGGGGACGAGGGCCGGGGAGGCGGCGGCCCGGGGCTCCCGGGGCAGGCAGGCGCCGCCGCGGCACAGAAGACGGCGGAAGGCGCTACGAAAGTCCGGGCTGCGGCAGTAGATGAGCGGGTTGAAGGCAGAGTTGGCATAGCCTAACCAGTTCAGGGCGAGGAAGGCCGGGCCGGGGACCAGAGAGGGGCCCCCCAGGGCGCGCAGCACATTGGCTAGAAAGAAGGGCAGCCAGCAGAGAGTGAAGGTGCCCATGATGAGACCCAAGGTGCACAGGGCCCGGTGTTCCCGGAGAGGCAGGAGGCGCTCGGGCCGCCGGCCGCAGGCGGGCACAGCTTCAGCCGGAGCGCACGTCCCCGCGCAGGAGGGAGCCAGAGTGCGCGACGGCACCGGCGGAGACTCCTCCGGCGGAAAGCGGCGCAGCTCCCCGCGCAGCAAGCGCAGCTGGCGAGTAGCCACCACGAAAACCCGCGCATAGACGAAGAGCATCACGAGGAGTGGAAGGTAGAAGGAGACAGAGGAGGACAGCAGCACGTAGGGCATGTTGGAGGCGAAGGCACAGCAGCGCGGGTTGGAGTGGCAGCGCTGCGCCTCGGCGTCGGCACCTACGCGCCACCACTGGCTCATGATGGGCGCAAACGACACCGCGGCCGACACGACCCACACCAGGACCACGGCTGCCCGGGCGCGGCGCTTGGTGACCAGAGCGCTGTAACGCAGCGGGTTGGTCACCGCCAGGTAGCGGTCCACGGCCAGGGCGCACAGGGTTTCGATGCTGGCGGTCACACACAGCACGTCCACTGAGGTCCACAGCTCGCAACCAGTGGCGCCCAACGGCCAGTGGCCAGTCAGCGCCAAGGTGGCCCCCGGCGGCACCACCAGGAGTCCCACTACCAGGTCGGCTGTGGCCAGCGAAGTCACGAACACGTTGGTCATGGTCTGGAGTCTCGGTGTCCGGGCGATGGCCACGATGACTAGCAGGTTGCCTCCCACGGTGGCCAGCACCGCCAGCGCCAGCAGCGCCCCGGCCAGGGCCGCCGCCCACGGCACCCCTGGCAGCCCACTGGTGTTGGCGGTATTGGGGACGTCTGGCCACGGGGCCAGAGTACTGTTCCCGTGAGGCCACGGAGTCATCCCTGGTGGCGCGTGGGGTGGGAGGGAAAGAAGGAAGAAGGGGGCCTCCCAAATCACCTGGCTCAGGGGAGGGGGCAGCGGGACTTGAGAGCGACTCCCCCAGCCTGGACCATCTTCCTTAGCAGTCCGGGGCGTGAGCGCTCAGCCACCCCCAACCCCCACTTCCTCAGTGCCACCGCTGGGGGAGGAGTGCGGCGCTTAAAGGGGCAGCGGCCGGCGGATAGTCTGGAGGGGCCTCTGGAGCGGAGCTGGAGAGTGGGGAGGATGACCGATGAGATGTTCCACGTTTCCTTTAGCTAAATCTGGAGGAAGGGACGCCCTGGCTCCTCTGAGACGATCTGTCCACGCCTGCCCTGGCCAGGCCCTTGGACTCAGCACAGCACTCCCCGGACACTGGCTTCCTGGAGCCCTGCACCTCCTTTCCCAGAAGGTCCCAGAGCAACCCCGGTGAAGAGAGATGAGAGGGCTCCCATCTTCGCCCTTTACCCTGTCAGAGGGAAGGTAACCAGCTGGAGTCAAGCCACGGATCTACAGGAGCCCCTCATCCACTTGGGTGGCCTCCCTTAAGGTATTCTAAATTAAGTAATACAAGGCAGCCAGTACCTCCTCTCCCAAGACCTCAGCCTGATGAGATCTGTCCCCTTTCCCTTCTATTTCAGTTACTTTCTCTTTCCTTCCAGCTTTGTTTTTGTCTTTTTAATATTTTCACGTTATGAAGAAATTTACCATATTTCAGATCTCTCTGTCTCTCTCCCCTTTTCTCCTCCCTCCCTCCCTGTCTCTCTCTCTCTCCCCCTCCCTCCCTCCCTCCTTCTCTCTCTCTCTCTCTCTCTCTCTCTCTCTCTCTCTCTCTCTCTCTCTCTCTCTCTCTCTCTCTCTCTCTCTCTCTCTCGTAGATCTCTGTCTGTTTTTCCCAGGCTGGCTTTGAACTTCTGAGTTCAAGCCATCCTCCTGCCCCAGCCTCCTGAGTAGCTGGAATTGCAGGCGTGAACCGCTAGTAGGCTCAGAAGTCTTCTTTATTGCTAGCCCTGGATTTGCATTTGGATTTGGCACTATGTAGTCTGCAGTGCTGCAGAATTTCAATTTCTCCGTCTTCCCCACTCTGCACTGCCCCTTCCACGCACTTTTCCACCTAGCGGTTTTCTAGATAGCCTCTTCTCTTAACACCCTTCTATTATAAAGACATATTAAAAATGGACGAGGCAAGAGGTGGAGAGGAGAGGATCACTTGGGCCCAGGAGTTCAAGGTTACAGTGAGCCATGATCACACTACTGCACTCCAGCATGTACAAGGGCAAGAAGCAAGACCCTATTAAAAAAAAAAAAATGGGTAAATGGGTGACTGGGTAAGAGGCATGTCTACCATCCCCCCCAACTATACACAACTCTTCCATTGCCAACCCCCCAAAGCTAAGTGTTTGTGCCACTACCTTTAGGATTTTTTTTTTGAGATGAAAGTTACTCTTGTTGCCCAGGCTCGAGTACAGTGGCACAGTCTTGGCTAACTGCAACCTCCACCTCCCAGGTTCAAGCAATTCTTCCGCCTCAGCCTCCCAAGTAGCTGGGATTACAGGCAAGCGCCACCACACTCAGCTAATTTTTGTATTTTTAGTAGAAACGGGGATTTCACCATGTTGGCCAGACTAGTTTACTTCTGGCCTCAGTCAGGTGATCCACTGGCCTAGGCCTTCCAAAGTGCTGGGATTACAGGTGTGAGCCACCATGCCCAGACTTCCTTGAGGATTTTATTCATGAACTTTTACAAACTAGAAGGCACTGAGTTGAGGCATTCATGCGTTCATCCTTGGGTGTGTACCATGGCAAACCTGGTGTTTCAAAGCCTCTGAAGTCTCTCAGGTGGTTCCACCAGAGGCTTCCCTCATCTGCAGAAGCCAGAGGCCTCTTCCCCTCTCCCTTCCCTCACTCAAAACTTGGAAGGCTTCCTTTTTCCAGCCCAAGCTCTCCCAATCTTTAAACCAGTTTCTCTCAGATTGTGTATGGGGAGGGGGCACTGGAAAATAAAGCCTCTGGGTTCAAGTGGTGGGGCAGGAAGATGGGACACCTCATTAGGGCCTATCAGGACCTGATTCTTGAGCTATCATGCTTCCTCCACTGAAACAATGGGACAAAGGGGGAAAAATTATCATGGAAAATGCCTCCAGGGCTATGCCCTGGCGGGTCTCCTCTGAATAGCTCTACTTTTCGAAAGAACACTTTATAGTCACTGGTATGAACAATCCCTCTGGGAGACTGAGCCAGGGGCTAAGAGTTAGGAAGGTTGCAGGGGAATTCCGAACCTAAAATTATCCCCAAGGAAAAAGAACCAGCCTCATCTCCCAGGGACCCAGCTCCTCACCCACGAGCAGGATCTGTCAGGCTCCCAAGCAAGTGCCTTCCATACCCATGAAGAACCCCAAGCAGGACTTCGGATCCATGGAAATGCCCAGGGGGTGAAGGTGAAGAGGCAGCCTCTGACCCTCCTGTCTCCTACTGCCCCCACTCAAGTCATGACAGAGCGGTGCAGGCCCCACTGGGCCTGGAGTCTTGGCTATGGCTTCCTGTTGACCATGAAGGTGGTCACTCCCAAGAAGGTTTTTGCAACACCCCAGAGTGTTGTTGCCAGTTATCTCAAAAGGGTATCATAAGATTCCGAAAAAGTAATCTCTAAAAACCAATACATGCCATCCAGCATTTTTTTTTTTTTTTGTCCAGGACATTAGCATTGGATGGGGAAGGGAAAGGGTTGCCAGGAAGTGGAGCAACTTCAAAGACTGTCATTGCCTTAGAGGTGACCTTGTCATTTGGAGGAAGTGTGTACAAATGTTTAACATATTCAAAAAAGACAAGATTTCTCAAACCACATGAGTGTGCCTGAGCTTGGGGAATGATTACACCAATAACCAAATGACACTGTAAGAAGAGAAATTTCTGACTCGCGTTAGGAAAGGTTTTATGAGCAAACACAGCGACGTTGAGGCACCTGGCCTCCTCCTCCTCTGCCAACCCATTCCTGCTCTCATTCCTCAGTCTGGTTTCCAACTGCCCAAGCAGATGGCAGGGGGAAGGGCGCCCTCATTTGCCACTTTAGTCTATAAGACTATTGGGTCTTACTTGTGATTTTGTCTTTTTTAACTTAATTTTTCGAATAGATTATACGTGCACATTATTCAATCATTAAAATATACCAAATGTGGTCAGGTGTGGTGGCTTATGCCTGTTACCCCAGCACTTTGGGAGGCCAAGGAGGATGGATCACCTGAGGTCAGGAATTAGAGACCAGCCTGGCCAACATGGTGAAACCCCATCTCTACTAAAAATACAAAAATTAGCCAGGCGTGGTGGTATGCGCCTGTAATCCCAGCTACTCAGGAGGCTGAGGCAGGAGAATCGCTTGAAGCCGGAAGGCGGAGGTTGCAGTGAGCTAAGACTGCACCATTGCACTCCAGCCTGGGAGACAGGGCAAGACTCCATTAAAAAAAAAAAAAAAAATATATATATATATATATTGAGACGGAGTTTTGCTGTTGTTACCCAGACTGGAGTGCAATGGCACGATCTCAGCTCACTGCAACCTCCGTCTTCTGGGTTCAAGCAATTCTCCTGCCTCAGCCTCCCGAGTAGCTGGGACTACAGGTGTGCACCACCATGCCCAGCTAATTTTTGTATTTTTAGTAGAGACGGGGTTTCACCTCGTTGACCAGGATGGGCTTGATCTCTTGACCTCGTGATCCACCCGCCTCGGCCTCCCAAAGTGCTGGGATTATAGGCGTGAGCCACCGCACCCAGCCAAATGCATATTATAGAGACTTGCTTTCATCCCAGTTTTCATCTCCCTAGCAGGTAACTACACTTAGTCTCAGGTTTATCCCTTGGCTGATATTTTATATACATACAAGTCAATACAAATATATATATTCTTGTATCCTTTCTTTTCTACACAAATAGCAGTCAAATATACCCACTGTTCTGCACCTTGCTTATTTTAACTATGTGTCTGTGATCCTTCCAGATTGATATACAAAAGTGTCCTCTTTTTTTTTTTTTTTTTTTTTCTTTTTTGAGACAGAGTCTCACTCTGTCACCCAGGCTGGAGTGCAGTTGTGCAATCTCAGCTCACTGCAACCTCTGCCTCCCAGGTTCAAGCAATTCTCCTGCCTCAGCCTTTCTGGTAGCTGCGACTACAGGTGCGCACCACCATGCCCAGCTAATTTTTGTATTTTTAGTAGAGATGGGGTTTCCCCATGTTGGTCAGGTTGGTCTCGAACTCCTCACCTCTGGTAATCCACCTTGGCCTTCCAAATGCTGGGATTACAGGCATGAGCCACCATGCCCAGCCAAAAGCATCTCATTTTCAGTATCCTATTATATGGATATATGATCGTCTATGAAACCAATCAGCTAGTGATAAACATTGAGCTTACTTCTTATCTTTACTAACAGATGATGTTGCAACAAATAACTTAAACATGTCTTTTCATCTGTATGTGAGTATATCCTACAAATAGATTTTGCTATGTTATAAGGTCTGTGCATTTGCAAATTTGGAAAGATACTTCCAAATGGTCCTCCCCAGGAATGTACCCAATCTCACCATCATTTTTGATGGTAAGCAGAGGGGTGGAGGCAAGTGACCGACTGCTCTGGGAAGTCATCCTAATGACTGGCCCAAGGGGAATTAGTACTGCCTGGGCTGGAGAGGTCATCCAACTTGGGAAAGAAGCATGCAGTGCCCAGAGAGCACATGCTGGCCCTCAGCCCCCAGATGACCTATGTTCTGTGCCCTTGGAAGCAGGCAGCGCCTGTGGGCCTCTGAATGCACTGAGTTCAGGCTCCTATGCTGTAGTTTATGTGTCAGTGCTCCGGGAGTATATGTCAGGGAGAATCGTGCTCTGAGATTTAGAATATGTGGCTGGTAGAGCCAGAAGTGGCAGCAGCCACCTGACAGGCAGAAGTTCTAACAGCAGGGAAGAGTACTCTCTCCTGTGAACCTCATGATTGGGTGCATGTATGTGTGTGCCTGTGTGTGTTCATGTGATATGGAATAAAGAAGCCAAAGAAAGTTCAGGTGATCCCAGCCTTGTACCCTCTCTAAGACTACATGTGTAACAGGTGGTTCTCTTCTACCATTCATAATCCACCCCTCTTGCTTTAAAGTTCTTGGAACGGGCCAGGCATGGTGGCTCACATCTATAATCCTAGCACTTTCAGAGGCTGAGATAGGCGGATCACCTGAGATCAGGAATTCGAGACCAGCCTGACCAACATGGAGAAACCCCCATCTCTAATACAAATACAATATTAGCCGGGTGTGGTGGCACATGCCTGTAATCCCAGCTACTCAGGAAGCAGGAGAATCACTTGAACCGGGGAATCGGAAGTTGAGGTGAGCTGAGATTGAGCCATTGCATTCCAGCCTAGGCAACAAGAGCAAAACTCCGTCTCAAAAAAAAAA